GCCTCACACATCTCTACCTGAGTTTCTCAACGTTTCAGTAATTACTACTAAAATTCAGATTTTTTAAATTTCCCTTCAGTATTATTCAGCTAAGGTGTAAACTCAATGACTGAAACCAGCGCTATACTTCTTTACAATTGCAAAGATACAAAATCTTTGCTTTCAATCAGAAAGGAACTCAAACGTTCACGAGAATTTTGAGCCAGTATTTTAACCCATAAGTACCAGCCTCCGCTGTTCAAAGCACTAGGTGATACTAGAAGCAGAGAACAGCACAGCATAACCTTAAGTTGCCCAATTTTCCAAAGCCAAAGTCCTTATAGAGAAAGGACACTTCAAGTAGATAATTTCAAAGACATCTTAGTGAGTCTCTAGTCACTGACAGTTTGTTCAATGCTAACAGTTATTTTCCCCCAAAAAACAAACAAACCAAAAAAACAAAAGCATCCACATGGGAGGAAAGTAAAACAAGCAAAACCAGAAAACACCTTAAGAATAAAGGTCAGCATGTTTCACTGTCACCAACTTTCCTAAGCCATTTTCTGCAGGCGGAGGGAATGTCCCACCATTCAAGTATGTTCTATCCCGTTGAGATTCCATTGGTCTTTAGCTTTCCACAGCTTTTATCTCCTTACCAGCTTACCATATAACCCTTACAGGACTTTTAGTACTTCCTAAGAACATAACGATCTATAAGCTTTCATAGCGACTGTCCAGATGCTGCAGGTCTTCCTACACCAGGCTGGTTCTTGTACTTCTCCCTCCAATCCAGAGCTCTACTCCACCAATCACAAGAAAAAGGAACAACATTGCTACGCAACAGCATTAAAAACACTGCCTAACCTGAATAGTCTCAAACTCAGTGCTTTGATGACATTGGTAGGACGTGTTATATGTGAAGTAGCAACAAAGCATTAACTTTACCACTGGAAAAAAAATCTTGTTTCCGAAAGTCATACCCAGTCTTCCTATACTCCAGACACCTACCACTGCAGACAGAACTGAAGGCTCATGAATACTATTGTCACTTGGCGCTCGGTCTCCTGTTTCAAGCCTGTTACGTTTCTCCCTTGCATTCTCCCTTAACCAGCCTCATCTTCAAAAACAACTTGCAGCAAGACCAAGTTTTAAAGAGATTTTTTTCCCCCCCAAACTATTCAATTTTTATTATGTAAGGATTAATACTGATATATGATAAAAAATGAGAAAGAGTGCTAAGTAACCAAACCCTCCCCACTGAAGGACTCAACAAATAAACTGATTTTAGGTCTTTGCTTGGAGTGTTTTATCTGAAATGCAAAAGAGCCAGAACAACTACCACAGGGCTATGGGACCTTGCCTTTACTGAGCCACAGCAGCAATCTCCTACAACCTGGGCTGGCTGAGCAGTAAACAACTACTAAGGTCATTTTGTTTGTCTGTGCATTTACTGTGTGCACATCTACAGCTTTATCCCCTCTCCTTGTCAGTAATCTCTGAAGTGACCTAAGGCAACAATTTCATCTTTGCCATTACTACATAGACAACACCCACATGCAGAGCCATCTAACACCACAGTGATGCTGTCAAAGTCACATAAGGTTTGTGGCATCAAAAACACGATTGTGCTATCCTTTAAGCACTTGTCTATAAAATGTAACAGTACTTTGCACTCAAATCCAGACCACTCAAATGCAGGAAATAGCAACAAGGCTGTCAAAAAGCAACTAAAGTTTAGAATTCTAGAAATGAAAACCTTCTCTCCACTCCTCATGAACTATCACACCCTCTGCTCTTGGCCAGCCAGGCCTATTCATACATCCAATATCTTAATATTTTGATGAAACAGCAACAGGCTTCTAGTGATCTCTTGTGCACTGTTTCCCTCGTTTAAAAATTTTCTTGCTTTTCCTACTGTATCCAAAAATATATTATATATATGTAACTTACTACTAGCTTGCATTTTTTTTTTTTTAAGATACTTGATCAACGTTTTAAGCATGAATTAATCTTCTCCATTCCTCTCCTTCCCACTTACCTCAGCATTCATTTTTGGAGGGTCACTTTAAAGACTACAAGGGGTGGGTCTTCAAGAAGTACTATACGCTACCTGTTAAATAAAACAAATGTTGGAAGTGCATCTTAACTCAATTCAGCATCCACCACGATAGCTATTCCTGGGTCTTCAAGAAGTACTATACACTACCTGTTAAATAAAACAAATGGTGGAAGTGCATCTTAATTCAGCATCCACCACGATAGCTATTCAGAAGTTGCACTGTTAGAAAAATAACAACATGGCCCAGAGATAAAACCAGAAATGAAGAGAATATCCCAAAGAAAGCAGATGCATTTATCATACCTTCAAGAATCTTAAAGAGTGTAAACAACATATGAGAAACTTATATTTTAAGTACTTTTATTCAAAATGAAATCCACATACAAACATTTGAACATGTAAAAAAATAAAAAGCCATTTTCTACACCTTAAAGAGCACTTAAATTAACTTCTACAAGCAATCCTTTAGAAGAGAAACCCTAATTAGCAGATAGTTTTCTGCTCTCTTCAGAGAATTCTACATTAAGTCCCCTCCTGCTAATACCCACCCACACTTAAGACAGTAGAAAACATTTCCAAAATATCTAATAGTCTAGATCTCCCTGAATATATTACCAAAACCCCTTTAAGTTTCTTACAGGTAATAAGCACAGTAATATATTTCTCTGATTATTTTAGGGCAAACTAAACTATAGGCTGACAGATCTTTTTGATAACCTTCTTCCTTTCTCCCTCCTTCAGGTCCCCTAAGATTCAACTTTTTCAACTAAAATATATCTGACAATAAGAACAAACATCAGTAGAAGAATGATTCAAAGATTAAGAACTGATTTGGGTTCATCTGATCTGGCAGATGATTTAGGATCACCTGCCAAAATGACAGCAGTTAAAATGAGCATGCTGAACTAAAGAATTTAGTGTAACGCACATTTTTTAAAATGAAGTTTTGCTCAGTAATATTGGTTGGGTTACTTGAAGCACTATAATTCATCTCTGTGCTTTGTCATTCTATTTCCTTTAATTTGGGACCAAGGCATTGTTTTTTCTTTTCATGTTCTCCCAATAACTTTTTTGGAGTTGCCGTAACATCTGGATAAACGAGGCAACAATTGTGGAAAGAGGTAGCAACTTAAATTGACATTATTGAAAAAAACAAATTTGAGGCACACAAATCCTTCTTCAGATCTCCAATACTGCAGCAAGCTTGGACATTGAGAGTAGCTCAGCATTTAAATCTATGTGCTTATCTGTCCAGAGAAGGGCAAGTTGAAAGAGGCGGTCCAAAGAAAGCTCCCCAGAAACAATCTTTCTTCTCAGTCCTTTTCCTTGCCAGCTCGGTTGTGAACTTCAACACCACCATAAAATATTAAGCTGCTTAGTAAGAGAACAGTCAATATCTTTTGTACAGTGTCCAGAACACGGAGACCTAAACCATGAGCTTCTAACCACTATCTGTGACAAAGTAGAAATACTTACCTAGCCCTGTTGCAGCTCCCCTATTGTGGAATCTACTTTTATGCACCAAAAATAACCTCATTAACTTCACAATGTTAGAGATGAAGACAGGTTTTAAAATAGCCCTGTGTCTGCAGCGCACACTATTTTTCAATTCTATTGCTTCTACAACCATGATTCTTCCCCTTTGCTTGAAAAAAAAAAAAAAAAAAAGGCTGTAGATAAAACATCCCAGTGTTGCACAAGTCATTATTAAAACCTGGGTTAATTTAGTATGAAAAACAGCTATTCCTCTCCATATTTCATTTCAAGATCATCTGATTGAAATGAACTTTTCCAATACTTATATTTAAATTTTTCCTGTCAAAAATTACACTGATTGTCACATGGGCTCATTTCTGCATCAATACATGAAATATTCCTTTTTTTCCACTCCCAAAGGGTATGGTAGATGATAGTATTACCATCTAATTTAAGATTACAGGTTAGTGCTAAGAAAAACTAGTGCTGAAAGCCTACAAAAGTCTTCCTTCTCTTGCTAAGATGCAAGAATGTATGCCAGGCAGGATTTTTACCAGCAAACTGAGAAGAAACCAAAGAACACAAAAAGTATTTATTATCAAGCAACAGCAAACTCCACAATGCTTTAATGAGAGTAATCCTTGGAAAAATGGCTAAGAGCAATTTCAAGGTAAGGTGCAGTTACATGAGACACTTTTAGGAAGAGCTTTGTCTGCCTAATAACCTGCTTCCTGAAACTAAATCTTAACTATAACTAGTAAGCACATCAGTTGATAGCCAAGATCAAAATGAAAGGAAAAAAAAGGTCAGTGTAAGGAAATTGCTTCAGGTTTTTACAAGGTGGGAAGACACACATGTATTTTATGAAACAAAATAGAAGTAGAGAGGTAGTCTAGTTGTTCATTTGACTGGGAGAGGTAGAAGCAGTGGAGAAAACAAACAGCTGTGGCCAGTCAAAATTACAGTTATCCCATGTTCCCCAAAAGGATGCAACAAACTGATTCACAGCCTCTGACTGCTTATTTAACCAGGGATTCAGTTCACTTGCTCTTATTTACTCATTTTAAAAACCAGTAATTTCCATTCAAAATATCTATTCAGGGAGTAAGAAGCAGGAAGAGAATTGTCATAGAAATAAACAGGAGAAAACAGTAACTACATTCTAGGTGTCAGATGTGTCAGCCAGTTCATCTGCAATTCGTAAATTTTAAGATAAAGGGTAAAAAAAATCAGATGGGGCGGTTCCCTTTCTGGCAGACTGATACTGTACTATAACAACTAAAACAAATACCTACCACATGCTAGAAGCCAGTGAAGTCATAAATTTCATAGAGTTTATCTACACAAAATTCTCCATGCAAGTTCTTCCCACAGGAAAAACAGACCAATTCTTTTAGAGACAAAAGCCACTCAAACATATTGGTCATACAGTCAACAAGCGTTAAACACTGTGGATCTTAGAGTTAGCATCTGCAGACAATCATACATAATGCTCCCTGGGATTGATGTAGACACTTCCAGACCCTGAGCTCTGAAGGTGTCTACTATTCCAATTTTTGTAGTATGTTTGCTCATAAACAGGGTACGGGTGCTGAAGGCTCTCATGTTCCTGGGGTTCTTCAGGCTCGTAGTTAAGTTGTCTTCCATTCACAGCTTTCTAAACACACACACACAAAGATTAGTCAGGTTCACAGTCCTACTACTCCTGTTATTACAGCTCTAAGAAAAATAAGAGGTGCACTAATTCCAAAACAGACCTTTGAATCAAGAAGCATGACCTTAAAAATTCTGATAGCTAAGCAGCAAACTTAAACAAAACCGTTAGCAAATACTCAACATAAAAACACTGAGGCTAGATCTAAAAGGAAGTTAGATTAAAGCTCATGGAATCTAAAAAGCAAAGCAAACTATAAATAAAGTCTCTCAGCACTCCTGTGCTTTGTTATTATATTCAGCAGTAACTTTAGAGGTCGAGTGTTTCTGCATTGAAGCTAGTCGGCAAAACTACATAGGAAATACTAAGATACTAAAACAATATTGACTTGTTTCATTTCAGGGATAGCAAACTTTCACATCCAACAGTTACTTGTCTATGATGGACATATTCTCTGCTCTTCATGGAAAATATCCTTGCAAACTTATTTCAAGAAACAAGATAAAAAGCAAAGCTCTTGCCAGGAATTTAATCTATCTTATTATTTACCATATACTGCAAACTTCCAGTATCTCTCTCTCTGTACTGGCTTTGCGAAGCAAAATTTTCTCTCTGAAAGAAGAGTTATAGTGGAAGCAAGTCAGAATTCAGCAGTATAGAACAGGTTCAATTTAAACAAAAACACTATCATCACAAAATACATTATGCCTTATAAAGTGTCCTAACTGAGCACCTTTCTGAATGCCTTTTACAAGCTGATCTCTGTTTGCTGGAAAAAGACAGGAGTTATTGTTAATCTAACAAGTATTACTTTCAGAAATAAATTGCATGTTAAAATTTAAAAATGTATTTCAAACAAGTCAACATAGGTTAAAAACCAAGTCAAGCCCTCAAACCAGATATCTATTATCAAGCTTTCACAATCAATCAAGTAGATAAATGCTCAGTCTGATATTAGACACATCTTCGTCTGAAAGGGAATTTAACTGTACATTACTGGGAGAGAAAGGATTACATGTTTGCTGCCCAATTTGACGAAAGCTAAACAAAGTGCTTCCAAATGAAAATGCCCATAATGAGACAATTCAAAACGTTCAACGAAAATTAAGATAAATTACTCTGCAACAGTAAAATTAAAAGAAGGTGCTTTTCAGCACATTTGCATAGATTTTTTTCCTTGATAATAGCAGTAAAGACATATTTACAACTTATCTACTCATTTAAAATCCTGCTGACAGACCATACTCCCTAGACGTTTTGCTATGAACATCTATGGAACCTAAAACTTATCTTGCTTGTTCCTCAAAGTACGCTTCTCTGACACAGTGTCTCAGAGCTCTCCAGCGAGGCTTGGCAGATAGATGTAACCCAGAGCTAACTAGCATTCAATTCACAACACAGGATAAGGGCTAATCACAAGCAAAACCACCCACCTCATGCACCTCAAACAGTCTCAGTAAACCTGTAGGCTTACTCGTATTGCCATGCACTGCTTGCTAATAAAGAAATGGCTTTATGCAGCAGTAACTTCTTGCAACTCAAACAGGATTCCTTCACTTGATTCATTAAGATCATGTCTCTGGGACACTGGTTTTGTTGAAACAGGGTAGGAAGGGAAGAGACCCACAAGAAAAACACAGGGCATATGGCTGGGTCATGTTATTTCATTTCCTATTTATAAAAGTGTGTTTAGAAGTTTACTTTATCCTTTTATCCTCTCTCCTATTTATACGAGCTTTTTTTTTTTCTTTTTAAAGGTCATTTTATTTTGGCATTAATTGCCAGTTCTTGGCTCCCAAAAAGTGGTCACACCTGTGATCAATATGGTTTTAAAATTACTTAACACTCAAGTCTTCAAACTCATTAGCTCCACATGCCTGGTATGGATAAAAAATAAATAAAGCCAACAACGATCACCCGCAGAAAGTTTGAAAAGCACTATCCCCTATCTCCAAGGTCTTTATCAATTACCTGTTCAGAGAGCTCTATCAGAAACTGTCTAAGGAAAGCAGGGGTTTGCAGGTGGCAGATATGCACTGTTCTGTGCCTTTACCTGTACCTCTCATATTCCACCCTCTGAAACTGTCACTGTGAACTACTGGGGCTCTGTAACAGCTTCGCAAGCCAAGACATTTAGCCTCAACACATAAACATTAATGTTATCAATAGCATGACTGTCTTGGTCTGACCAAAGTGTTTCATTAGCCCCAAATCTAAGAGAAGAAAGCATTATCAATACACGTGCATATGCAGGGTATTCACAGATGCTATTTTTTTTTGCTGAATATTCAGTAAAGAGAAGTGGCAGGCTAGAGGCTCATTATATTTAACAGAGAGAAAATAATATCCTACAAAGATTCTGTATTCTTTAAAATCTGGCTCAAAAGAAACACAAATAAAGATTTTCCTAAATAGCAAATGCAATATCTGAACCCCCCCCACCACTTCTCCCCACACATAACCCACATATAGGTTAAATCTTCCAAGTAAACCAAGGCCTTCCCTTGAATTTTGAAGTTCTCAAAAATGTGCATTAAAAAAAAATCTAACATCAACTCGCCTGTACTCTAAATAAAAAAAAACTAAGCCAGAAGTTATTTTCACATTCAAAGAATCGTTTTAATCGATACCGCAGAGACTCAAACATTGTTCCTGTTATGCAAGGAGATGACACCAGTCATCTGGAAAGTCTAATGCAACGCACTATAAACATGGGGTAGGATATAGCAGAGGAAGAGTTTGAGATCATTCAAGATGATCTCAAAACTCACTGGACATTTACATTTTAAAGGAGAGCTACGTCAAAGACTTCAGGAAACCAAGGCATGCAAGCGTGATAGATCACGTGCAAATTACATGCAATAGGGGCCTTTTAAGACAAACATAGCATTATAAACACGGAGTAGGTTTAACAATTTACTGACATCAGCTACAATCGAGTTCCTATGACTAACACTGAATCAACATGAAATATAATGGTCCTAACTATCACTGGCTCTTGAAACTCTTGAAACATAGACATGCCTTAAATTTCACAGCCAAAGTGCATAGAAGTATTATTCATCCCATTAAAGCTCTATAATTCAAATCTCAACCAAGTCCAATGCCATCAGTCTTTATAGATGTAATGTCTTGTTTTACCATATTCCAAACACATGAATTACACGTGTTACAAGCGCTGCTTCTCTCTTCTCTCCCAGCCACTCTCTCCCTCCATTTCTTTGAAGAAGATTAAAAGAGACATTTGGTCTAGCAATAGAAGCTACAAAACTGGAAGTTGACAGGCCCAATCAACAGTTTAAGTTATTGGAGAGGCAAACAAATTTGTATATATTAAACTAATACCGCAGTAGTCTATTACTTGATGTCATTACGAAAACATCAAGAGCCAGTAAAACTCTCATATTCATTCCAGAAACAACACTGTGATTTTTGTTCACTTCATGTTTAATAGGATATTTCTTATCCGCTCCAGCTTTTTTCTCCTTCTCCTTAAATAAAAAATGTGGAAAAAGAAAAGTTAAGTTCAAATTTTAAAATAATATTGGGCTTAGTTGTTAACCTGACCTGCATACTCACTGTGAAACACAAGTTGAAAAATCTACTGATTTCCATGAACCTCCTTTCCCCATTCCAACAGCTCTTTTCACTGTCTTCACAAAACTGTTTTTCCTACTCTTACTCATCAAACTTGCTGCCTTATAATTCATGAAAATACGATATTTTTCTAAACTCGCACCACTTTTACTCCTCAAGTATTAGAACAGAATCTGTAGATTTATTCCAATAGCACACTGCTTACCACTTATCACCAAGAGGTGCTGAAGAGGAATTCATCCCACAAGCAGGTGAGGTACAAAATCCATCACACCATCACTAAAGGGAAATGTTCTCTGGGCAGGCACCGAAGCAGGGCAGGAAATCTGCCTGCTCCAAAACTTCACCCAACAGTGCCAACTGTTGGTACCAGCCACGTGACATAGACATGCACCAGGAACAAGAACAGGAAATTCTGGTGGGTCCATTACACTAAAATGGGAAATGAGGGAAAACTTCCTGTACAACATTAAAACACAAGACCTATTTTTTAGAGAAAGGAGTTGCAGTTTTTACTGCCAAGGAACATGTGACAGAACTCAACATTATTAGGCTTTGTCACAGAAAACAAGTACTGGGCTGCCCAGCAGAGTTCAGATGCAAAAGGACATAGGACAAAGCCCTGTTTGGGCTTTGATGCTTATGATAGTTTGTATTTCACGGAGTTGTACAACAGGAATTACATAAAGCATTGTGTCCACACTCCTTCTCAAACAGTCCTTTAAAACTCTAAATCAATATCTCACCAACACTTCATCCTGCATTTTCTTACCCCTTCCAATACAGAAATCCAACTACAACAATAGAGTCTACTCATAATGTCTATCACACCTCATTTACAAGCTTCCATTCCAGACAGTAGGACATTGTCAACATAGAGCCAAAATCCATTAACAAAATGACTTTTGTGCCTCATTCTGGTCCCTATCAGGTTAATGATTTCTTCCACTGTAAGCTCTTTCATTAATACAGATGAGTTTATCTACATGCATTTTGTGCTTCCCTCTATACAATCTTGTTTACCTAAACAGCTCCTCAGTCTAACATAAATTATAATAATAATGCTTTCTCTTTCATTTCAAAATAGACAGTCTCACCTGCATTAAAACCATTAGGAAAACATCCAGTAGAGTCCAAGATGGCTATCATCTATAATGAATCCCTATTGCACCAGTTTTAAAAGCACTGCTGGCCATCTTTTCAAATCTGATCACCGTTCAATATGGGTGTTTTTTTTAGCTTTATGCTTTTAACCAAGCTATTACAATTTCACCATCTTTTCTGGTTTGAGCACTAATACAAACATCATTGAAGAGCTGCAGTATTTGAGAGGCTGGTTTTGCTAAGAACATCAAGTATTTTTACAAAA